ATCTTTTTTATTTTAACGAAATAATAAATAATCTATGTTTACCCTTAAGATCTATTCTATGTATTGGTGAAAGAATTTTAGGAATCGAATGAGTAGTTTTGGAGAACGTCCATTACTCGTTAATACATTTGTAAATTATTTAAAATATTTGTCGTAAAAGGAAGTTGGAATTAACTTATCCACCTGGTCGAAAAAATGACGTTTTTCGGTGTTTTTCATCTTTTACAAGACTGAAACGTGATGAAAAGTGGGCTATTTTTGTCATTGTCCAGGAATATTGAAATAATACCTGGTCGAAAGCCAAAATATATTTCCGCATTATTTATTAGTTTTGGTAGAAGTAAATATATTGAAATAAAATTTTACTTCAAAATATTTGCTTTACTATTTTCCTTTATTTAGTACAGTTAGATATAAACTTTTTTTTTTTAAATTTTGGTATAAATAAATTGAATTATAATTTTCAGAGAATATATGTTTTTATTAAAATCAACAGAATGAGAAACAGACACATGAGCAATTAAATGCTAATTAATTGTCGCAATCAGAAATTAAATGCATGTGTATTTTTTCAAAAATCACTGTTAAACTTAAGATTAAATTAGCAGAGCATGATTAAAAAAAATGTTTAAACAATGAAAAAAGGTTTGCCTTTTTGATCACAATAATTAAATCTCATACTATACTCAATAGATTCGATATTTAGTTTAAAAGGATCGATACCAAAAGTATCTACTTCTTATTGAAAAGAAAATATCGAGTATGTACTTGCATTTACTTTGGCTTATATTAATCCATAAAAATTTTAAAATTCGTTATTAAACTGTCTCCTTGAGTTTTTTCAAAATATAAAAAACTAACCATTTTAAAAAAATCATTGAAGGGAATGGTTTATTGTTATGATTTTTATAAACAAATAATTTTGTGTACAAAAAGCATGTGTCAACAATGTGCTCGTGATTTTCGATTTTTAAATACCAAAACCACCCGACTTGGAGGATTTTTAACGTTTATGAGGAGGGGGTAGGTGGAACACAAAATCGCCTTTTTCATAAACAAATAATTATGTGTTCCCAAATGAAAAGCACAAAAATTAAGTGCTCTTTATGTGCCCCCGATTCAGTCAAACGATTTTCGCGCTCCAACTCCATCCGACTTCGATCTAATTCTGAGGCATGCAGATAAATCCAGTATGATGACAACTTTTTTTAATTACTTTTTACTTGAGCGTGTGTGACTTGTTGAGCTACAATCCGCATTTTAAAATTTTTAAGAAGTATAGAGCTGTTCGGAAAGTTATTTTGTTTTTTTTTGTGGAAATGAAAGACAGTTTTCGTATAATAAACAAATACTTTATTAAATTATATATTGACCGTTCTGGTCCAACACCTTTTGCCATCTTTCTGGTAGTAGCATAATTCCACGCTCATAAAATTTTTGGTCTTTGCTGGCAAAAAACTGATCGAGGAGGTTTTTGACCTCCTCATTTGAGGTGAAGGTTTTACCGTCTAAAAAATTTTGGAGTGACCGGAACAAATAATAATCCGATGGTGCCAGGTCTGGAGAATATGGTGGGTGTAGCATTGTATCCCATTCAAGCTGTAAAAGCTTTTGGCGAGTGACCAAACTTGTGTGAGGTCTCGCGTTGTCTTGGTGAAACACTACACCTTTCCTGTTGATTAGTTCTGACCTTTTCTGTTGAAGTGCATCATTCAGTTTGTCCAGCTGATGACAGTAGACTTCCGAATTAATCGTTGTGTTATCCGGTAAAAGCTCAAAAAAAACGATTCCTTTAAAATCCCACCAAACAGACAGCATCACCTTTTTTTGGTGAATATCGGCTTTGGAAATGGTTTGAGCCGGTTCATCTTTTTTGCTCCATGACCTCTTGCGTTTGACGTTGTTGTATACAACCCATTTTTCGTCCCCAGTGATGATGCGCTTCAAAAACGGATCATTTTCGTGACGTTTGAGAAGCGAATCGCAGACGTCAATGCGGCGACACAGATTTCTCTCTGTGAGAACATGGGGAACCCATACATCGAGCTTCGAGGATAATCCCAGGCCTTTCAAGTGGTCATAAACTGTTGAATTTGATAAATTTAACCTCAATCCGATCTCACGTGTTGTTATTCGCCGGTTCACATCAACTAATGCCTTTATCGCGTCTTTATCAGCTTCAACCGGCCTTCCCGAACGTGGTGCATCTTCGACATCAAAATTGCCGGATCG